ACAATTACAAGAATTCAATAGGCCGAATTCTTACGTTATCCGGAAATCAACGCGAATTTAACTTCACGCGAACATTTCCGCGTAACAGTTAGAATCGCGCCAAGTATGTAGTTATTTAAAAGATAATGAAATGTAATCGTTCGACAATAATGAATCGATATTGATTAAGGATTACCTAAATGTAATTGAGAATAATTGACCAAAGACGTATAATGAATATAGGAAGGATATAACCGCATAAATATTAAGCTACGAGATAATATATATACATATGGAATATGTAAAAATATATTAGATATGTAAATGTATTAGTAGTCCATGAGGATATAGGAATCTTATCGAACGAGGATGCATAGGAAGCTTGTGCCAGCTAAGGACTAAGAGTGGGGGTACCAGAGTTACCCCTTCCACGAAGAACTTTTAAAGGCTGTAAAAGCCAGCGTCCATCGCCCCCATGGGTCACTTACGTTTCATTTTCGGTCACTTACATTTTTCCAGTTCTCTAGTTCACACCTACGGTTTTTCTTTTAGTCAGATAGTTCTCAACAGTCACTTATAGTTTTCCAGTCACTTACGTTTCATGTTAATACTTATAGTTCAACTTATAGTTTGACTTCAATTTATATATTGGTCGTTACTACTAGCTACCAGCTATTCAACATTTAAATATTATTTGATTGATCAGTTATAATAAATAATTAACTTTCGGGTCTTTGAGTGTTTTGACCTCTTTTGGAAAGAAACCAGTCCAAGCCTCCTGTGCAATCTCGAGAGCAACCAGCAACTGTATACGAACCTGTAAGTCACCAATCATTTTTATTATCATTATATTGTTGTTAAATCTGAGCTGCGGTCCACTAATCTTCTTCCTTGCTTCAAAACCTTCCTTAATCCACTCTCTTATGCCTGGTCCCGGTTAAACTCGGTGAAAGCAGAGTGACCATAAACAGGCATTACTTATACTACTTAACTAACTTCGTCCTCTAGGACGTAACATATCATTTTTCCCGCTTTTTAAACTTATGTCTTAAATATCTCGAAGAATATTGCAATTACAAAAAAAGAACTTACGGCTTGTTTTAAAGAGGATACTTGGGGCTATGAAAAAAAAACGTTTGAAAAAAAATTTTTTAAAATCTCGAATTTATGAAATGTTGAATTTCTTAAAGTTTTCAAAACTGACGATCGACAATAAATTTTTGGCTCAAATTTTTTTATACACTACCTTTTACCAATCTTAAGAGTTCCTGAAATTTTTGAAACTGTGTTTTTTGATTTTTTCAAAAATATAAATTTTTGAATTTTATTAAAAGAAATCTTTTTTTTAAACAAATTTTTTTGTTTTTTCATTTCTATCTCAATTGTGTTTAAGAAGACGTATTATTTTGTAATTTTTAACAGGTAACATTTTATTTGGTGGCATAATGTTGAGCAATAATATCCTCGATGATTTTTTAATTATTCGAAACAGAAAGGTAAAGTTTGCTTCGTTCATAGGTTCATACATTGATCCACAGCTGTTACCACTTTTAATTACTACTATTAACATTGGATGATAATACAGGTGTTACAGTCATCTTCTTTATGAGTTTACTTTTCAATTGAATCCAAAAAAATGTCATCAATAATCTTATTGCTTAACATTATGCCACCAAATAAAATGTTAACTGTTCAAAATTCCCTTCCTAAAAAACCCTGGTTTATCTATTAGAAATATAATGTCGTTCAAGCAAAAATAGGGCACGTAGCTTACCTTACTTTTACTTCGCCTGCATGCAAATGCAACGACGAAGTCTTATTTTTAATAAATATAAATGATAGTGCGCGCGGTACTTAGCTTTCTTTGTTGAATTTCGTAAACTCTTAGTCGCTTGTTATGTTATTTCTTCATAAATTGTCTAAGATGTATCGTACATATTCTATTTTTTTTCCTAAAATGTATAACTTTATATTAACATCAGATAATGATATAGGTAAGAACAAATGGTAAGTCAATATTATTTTATGACAATTGAAAATATTTATTTTAGTAAATTTTAAATAAATTAACAAAGAAATAAGGCCCATGAATACAGACAGAAGAATAATCTTAGATTCTTTTTCATTTAATATTTATGTAATCTATTCATTATTTTTTTCAAATTTTCGTCAACACATGTGCACATAATTATAAAAGTGGTCTAAGTCATGTATCTCTTGTTTCGAGATATTTAAAGATTTCTATTTGAACATTATATGAATTCTATGTAATATTGAACAA